TCCCTCTACTCTGCTGTTTTCTTAATTTGCGTACAAATTATTTGTCAGAGGGTACAAAGGCGGCCAAAGGCACAGCTGTGCCAAAAAGTTAAGCAACCGAAAACTCACATCACAGGGAAAATTCTTTCCACTTTGACATTTCCTTGGGCTTATTCAATTACTTTGTTTTTTTCCCTTATCTTTGGGTTATCCCTCGGCGGGATCTGTTATGATTGAATGTTGGCGTATAGAATTGGGCCAGCTTAGGGCATTTTCTTTTCTTGTTTTTTTTTTATGTATAGATATATATTTTCGGGTGAAAAACTTTGTTTGCCAATTTTGTAATGTTAAATTGAAAAATTTTCGAGGGATTATTGAAGTTATTATGGAAACAATGGGGCTATAAATAAAGGATCGAGGAGTTGGCACACTTAGCTTTGGTTCTTATAGGAAGGAAAATATTTTAAAGGGACGTTCTATGAAAATATTATAAATAGTTTGTTAACGATTCGAAGTCTGGCTATATCTATAGTGTAAAAACTATATTTCTTCCTTGATTTAGCCATTTAAATAGTTCAATTTCTAAGTCATATGTAAAGCTCTATCAAAGAAGGGCCTGTCCAAATTTCTGCTTGCTGGCTTAAAGCCGAATCCTTCTCGTTATGCCTGTCGAAAGTACACAAGCTCACCTCATCTCAGTCAAATTATGTCAAAAATGAAGCATTTTCCTCACCCACATCGTCTGACTGATGGCTGACCCTCTCACACACACACAGAGGACAAGTGTTTCCGTTGGTAAAAAAAAAGCCAAAACGATATAGAAAACCAAAATTTGTGTATAAATATTTAGCTGTAAGCTATTTGCACTTCATGCTTGACATGCCACAACAACAGCAGCCGCAATCTACTTTTAAAATATGTTAATGCCCATTTTACCTAACCGAAACGACGGCAAGGGCTTTATGTTGGCCAAAAAATACCAAAGCTAAAATATTTCTAAACTCGGTTGATTTTTGTTGTTTCGCCCGCTTTGCACCGAAATAGTTTGGGCAACAGCACCGGAAAAAAAAATTGTTTTCAGAAAATAAATCAAATTGCTTATCAAAGAGATGATTTAGTGGTTGCCACAGGGGCTAAGCTGGGCTGGGCGATGGTGGGGTTGACTTTGGGCGCTTCGAGGGTTGCTGCTCAACGTGGCTCAACTTTAATAATTGCTCAAGTTGTGGCCTTTTGTGGTCCCGAGCCATAAGTCAATAAAACGGCAAAGAAGCCCAAGTTTGAGGTGCTCAGCCCCCATCTTCCGGATCCAGGTTTCAGCATCAGCTTCATCTCCAGCTCCTGCTTCCAGGTGGAACGCATCATATTATTATTATCTCTTGTGAGAATTTACGAGATCAAAAATTAAAATGCCCTCGGGCGGCAGCGAGTTGAAGAAGCGCTCAAGAAATTGTTGCAGAAAATAATTTTATGGCTGGCCAAGGGTTGGCTCCTATTAGGGGTTGGGGCCAAAGTAATCTATAACCGCATCGGGCGGGGCGGGGCAGAGGTGGCATCCTACATCCTTGCGGGCTTTTGCACGCTTCAACTGGCAAATTGTCCATTTATTATGCGGCAACGCCTCCTGCACTCTCCGCTCCGGCACAAAAATGAAGTGCCTGGCCGCCCCCGAAAAAGTGGAAGGCATTAAGACAAGCTGTCGGTCTGCGGCAAGGGTTGGGATGCACTTAAGGTGCAGCATTAGCCGCACTCTGAGCGGAAGTGGCACAATTAGAAGAGCCGGTCAAAGTTTCGGCTTGGCCCCTTCGATGCATATTAAAAGTACGAGGAGTACTTCCACAGAGGACCGGTCTTGTCTGCGGAATATCAGGAGCAGCAGCTCTGTCGATATGCATAAAAAGCTGTTGCCTGCCATTACACAAGATATTAGTTGGGACAGGTCAAGGATGAAGGGGTGCGGCAGCTACAGCGAAAAATCCTTCCTGGACATTGAAAAATTAGAAATATTCCACCTGACAGGTGGGGTGGCTGTTTTGCATTAGCTCGGAATTACGCTGGCAACAATTTTCTGCTGTTTTGCTACGCTTTTTTCCCCCCGTGTTTTCATATTGAGCAGATGGTTTTTTTCGGGATAACTTATAGTAGACACCGGAAACGAGGTCAAAGCAAACCGGATGTGAGAGTTCCGAGAAACTGGTAGCCAAATTCAATATTAAATTCAATGGAAAATATATATTTAACCATTATTGGTGAATCAAAATGCCCTGCTTGGCAGGAGAACAATTCATTTATTAAGTAATGCCCGAAAAAAACTAGCTGGAGAAAAAGGGATGCTGTGCCGGAGGCTGCTTAAAATGTATATATGCCGGAGGACTGGACCGAGGCCATTACGAGGAATGCCAAATGCTGTGCCCTGCTCCACTGGCGACTGGCGGCGATGTCCAGTTAACGCTTCAATGGTGGCAAATGGCTAAATTCAAGCGCATAAAGTGAATTGTTTTATGCGCCCGGCGGAGGTCCTTTGCCGCTCCGCTTTTTCCTTTTTGAAAAACGAGTTAAACACGTGTCGCAAATGGGTAGGGTAGCCCCCTCAATCCATCCTGGTGCGTGGCGGCGCCTGGTTTTTCGGCCAGGGTAATCGAAGTGAATGCGGGATCTCTGCCGGAGAGCTTGATGGCCACCCGGGCTTCATAGATTATGGATGAGTTCCATAATGAGCCAATTTATACAAGTGTTCCACATGTGCGTGGGCCCAGGACTCCGGTTTTGGTGTGGGTGCAAGCCGACTGCTAGTGCGTGTGTGTGTGCGTGCGCCTAGGGTTGCCACCGCATTGGGCCTCATCAAGGATTCCAGCACGAGTGTCCAAAGTACTTAGCGATGGATCTCTCCTTATTTTTACTCTATGAAAGGAGCTTTTTGGGGGATGCCCCATAAATTTTATTGAAAAAATACAGAGTATTCTTTTTATGAAGTATAGGTTATTAAATCCTTTTCTATATATTAATATTCTATTATAATACTACATCAGATTCAGTGAAAATGTGTGCTATGAAACTCTATAATTGAATAGTCCAATTAACTCACGAAAGGGTATCCAAACCTTTAATCCCCACTGCTAACCTTCATTTCTTTAGTATATATTTTCTTTCTTTTTTTTTTTTTTTTTGGCAGCAAAGGGGCCTTGTGGGGTAATGATATATGACACCCCCAAGAAGCTGCTGGCCAAAATGCCATTTGTTTAAACCAGACCGAGCGAAGCAGCAAAAGCAGAGGAGTTTCGAGTCCTCAGCCACTTCACAGCTTCCATTTGAATGCGCACATGTCGGGGGCGAGTGAGCAACACATGGCTCCAAGTGCCCAAGGATCCAAGGAGCGGGTTCGACAGCAGCAGGCATCATGGGGCATCGTCTGGTGCGGACAGCAGCTGTTGCCGCCGCTGCCCGAAACTGTTCGTCCTGCTTGGGTGCACGCGTCAGGTGACAAGATGGAGCTTTCTTTTGCTCCTGTTTTTTCCTCAGGCTCCTCTCCTGTTGACAAAGGCACACCGGCAGCTGTTGCTCCTGCCGACTTCTTGGGACTAAGCCATTGGTCTGGGCAGTAAACAAGTCGAGCTAACTCAGGCTGAAACTGATATTGGCTTCGACAAAAAATATAAGAAAAACACACTTGTTGCTGCGAGCAGGAGAAGTCTGTTTGGTAGAGATTATGGAGGTTGAAAGTTAATTGTTCTTCAAGTTTCGAAACCTATCCAAGTACTTCATAAATTTTAAGTTATACCTGAAAGTTGGCTTCCTTATTTTGTTAATTTTCACCTTTCTTTCCTTGAATATCTTCAGGTTCCTTTGAAACTTACGTCGAGCTTAGCTCACTTTCCACTTTCCACCCTTTGCCAATTCCACTGTTGTTTTCACGGCTTCGCTGAAAGTTACCTGCGTATTCAGCTTTTTGCCAGGCTAATTTTACGGTAATTTTCCGAAGCATAGAAGCCAATTATTCACCTGTGTGCCGTGCTGCGGGAGCTGTTTAAATTGAAAGGATTACTCACGCTCCACTGGAGCTCAGACACATCCAATTCGGTTTGGGGGATCCAGGGATCCAGCGAGTGCCGTGTCCTCTCTATCTCCCATCCTATCCTAGCCTCTGTAGCCATTTCATTTACACATTCATTTTGGTATTGGCATTTTTTCATTACGCTGACATTGAACGCTGAGCCAGGGCAGGGAGTGGAGAGCGAAGCGATGTGAAGTGCCCAGGTAACGGCGTCAGTCAGAGAGCAATTGAAGCGATTTATTGGTGTCATATGACAAGCATCGAGGTCGCCCCACGGACCACCCCTTGACACTCTCTCTTCCAGGTCCTGGAATTGCCCTTGCTACTTGCGTAATAAAAAGTTCAAACATTAAAAGCTGACGATGCTGTGGATGCTGCACCACCTTTCGAACCCGCCTCGAGTCCTGCTCCATCTTCCGTCGCCATCGCAAGTTTCAAGTGTCATCGCTGGCACAGGCACTTGGAGAAAAATGTATATAAATTTAAATAAAAATCAATCAAGAGCTGAGGAAAATATTTTTTTATAAACAATTATTTTTAAGGTTTCCTAGATATTTTAATGGAGATTTTTAAGAAAGAACTCTAGATTTAAGAGCTGGAGTTTCCCATCTTTAAGCTTGAGAAATTTAAATACCAATAAATACTTTCAATTTTCTTTTCTGTATGCCTTGGAGCGAGGACCTTCTTGCTCCTCTTCTCCCCATTCTGGCCATCTTCCATCCTTCTTTGTGTGGCAATCAAACAGACGAGGAGGTCCGTAGGCAGGGGCGGAGACAGCCTGTGGCCAACGTTTAAACATATTGAATTACTTTAACAAAAAACAAGAAAAAAAAAAGCTCCAGGACGGGAGAGCTTCCCCCTCGTCGAGCGTCGTCGCAATTTGTTAATTTCTTGTCAACACGAGCCGTAAAACGACTAATTGGCCCGAACGCCCCCGCCCCGTCAGGCTTACCCCTTAAATCACTTGGCCATATTTAGCCTCTTGCCACTTTTAATATTTTCATTTAACGTCATTTACTTTTCCTCGTTTTTTTATTTTATCATTCTTCATTAAACTTTGCGGCGACTGTTCTGCCATCCGACGACCGCCAACCGCCGTCCTCTTTTCTTTTGTTTGTGCATTGATTTATTGGTATCGCCTCCCAATCGACATTAATTTTTCATCGATACATTTTTTCGCATTTTCCTCTGGTCTCTGTTTGTCGGGGAATAATTAAATTTTCGCATAAATTCATCATCATTGGATGGGTCGTGTGGGTTGACGATTTTAATTTCCTTTGACAAGGCCCCAAACACATACACAAGAGGTAATGCCGAGGGGCTATATAATTTGGGTGGTTTGACAGCTATTTAAGATCCAAAATGAATCGAATTATACGATGAAGTCATCAAGCGAATTGCTTGAAAGCAATTGTTAAGCTTAATATTCCTTTAAAGTGGGAATATCGTGAGGAGTTCTTGAGTTAGTTTGCCCTACATTGCTATTTAAATATAGAAATAAAAAGTATATTAATAAGAATTCCCATAAAATATAGTAAATAAATAATAAATAAAACAAACCACTGATAGATTTCCCTCTCCTCAAACCCGCACCGAAATCCCATCATCTGTTAAGCCAAATCCGTTGACATTTCCAACTTAATCACTTCTTTTCTCTTTCAACTTCACCTGGTACTCACTAATTGATTTCCTGTCTTGGAGACATATCCGTTGAAGTTTTTTCCACTCCACTCAACCCACTCGCCGGCTCTCGACAAATGTTTCATAAATATTTCAGAGGGCTATTAACGCTCACGGATGCTCCACAAAAGCTGAGACAGACAGCAGCACAGATCTCGGGCCAACTAATGAGCTGTGACATAAAAAACAAAGGTTTTCGCTGGGAAATCAAAAAAAAAGATTGAGGAATAAAGATGATGAAGAAGTTGTGTTTAACGACAAACCTCGACAAAACCTCAGTTGCATCCCGCCCTCAGCTGCTGCGAAGAGTTTGATAGATCTATTTGTAGTTCCCCATTTTGTAATGCCCCCTCGGTCTCCATCTACCGACAGCCTGTTAAATGCGACAACTTAAAATCCCATTTGATGCACTCTTTTATGGCTGCCAGACCCGTACCCGTACCCGCAGAAGTTCCAAGTCATAGTCGTAGCCAGAGTCCCCATTTCAATCTCCATAAACTTGACGAAAATCCCCGACCGAGAAACGAAAAATTATGTTCCCTTAATGGAGCGAATGTTTCCTTTTATGGCTCCTTATACACAAAATGTAAACTACTTAAGCGTCAGACTTGCAGCATGTGTGTGCAAGGGGAATTGTACTGGGAGGGGGGGAATTTCTAGCCCCCTCCTTTCACCCGGGGGCATGGCCAGAACAGGCGCGCCCTGTTCTCATTATGTTGCATGTGACACTGTTAATGATTATATGAATGCCGCCGCCCCCACACCCTTGCCTCGAGAATCGTGCTTCATGTTCAGTTGTTCAGTTCCTCGCTCATTTCCCGAGCGCCGGCTGACTTACCATTTTCCCCCCCCATCTAGTACCATTTCCCATTTTCGAGAACATATACACAGAGACAGCAGAGCGCAGCGAAACTCCCCGCGTGACGTGAAAATCTTTGCGACAAATGTTTTGGTTCCCACTTGCTGGAAATCCCCGCCGGCTATGTTTCCTTTGCCTTCTTTCCGCACTCTGGCAACTAGAGTCTAGTTGAATGTTTCATTATAAATACATAAAAATCGACAGGGAAGCCCAGACTTGCCCTGACGCGACTATAGGGTATAATCATTATAAGGCAGCAGGCGAGGATATGGAGAGTGTAGAGAAAGTGTTTACTCTTTGAAAAATATTAAATATTTTAAAGGATGTTTTTTGACCTTTTTTAAAAACTATAAATATTGAATTTGTAATAAATAAATTATACGAATTAAGCTATAAACACGACTATGACGAGTGTTAACTGCTCCCAACTCCTGTTGCAGAGTGTGAATCGATTGTTGGTTCCACTCTCGTTCTCCTGCCACCAGTCTATCAGTTCGTCAGTCTGTCTGTCATTTGCTTAACAACAACAGCAGTGTCTCCGCACATAAGTAGAAACAAACTAAACTAATTGCCAGTTTGTCTCGCCCACAAAGGTGGGTGAGCTCAAGGAGGGAAGGTGGAGCAAAGTCTTGGCCAAGTTAACCGAGTAAACCACAGCAGACACACTGGAAGGCAGTAACAACCACGTTACGACTTCGACACAAACGCTGTGGGAAAACTTTACAGTTGTTCCAGGCCATGGCCCGCACATCTTGATTGGGTTTTAATTCAGTGCTTTAGTGCACAACGCTAATTTAAAGGGTCGCCCCAGAAGAAGTACGGTTAACTCTTAACTTTTAATTCCCATGTTCGATCCGGGATTGCTCGATGATTGGTTGCAGCAGAACAGCAATGTTTAAATACTTTATGACTAGGGCTTGGATCCCTAACTAGCGGATATACATAGTGCAATCCTGTCGGCAAATATCCTGTAATCTACAGCCTTTGAATAAGTAAAATGATTCGCACGAATTCCCAATGGCTAGGTAAAAAGCATTTCCTGTTTGTGAAGAAGTAAAGAGAAATAAAGTGGTGATTTTTTTTAAATAAATATAGTTGGAGTAGCTAGATAAAAACTACAATTAAATTTGATAGAAGTTATTATGAATTTTAAATAATAACTAAAAATATTTGCATTGGCATTTAGATTTTTTTCTTTTGGTAAATTTGTTCACTTACCTTTAAGAAAACTCGTGTGTTTATCCGTTTCTTTATAGTTCCACAAACATAAATTCTTTGCTTAAGACTTTAATTTGGAACTTAAGCTCCGATTTACCACAACTCTCGCCACCGCAGCTTCCAAGGCACCAGCTTGATGAATTCTGAGAGAAATCCATAAAGGCACTTTGAACATCATAATTCGTAGACGTATTCCCTTTGCCGGCAAATGCGGCTCATAGTTGAACCCTTTTGCCCCCATTAGGCTGCCACTCACAGCAGTTTAATATCAATTACAAGCAACTAGGCACCAGCATACACACATTCTACATACATATATCGAACCCATAGGTAGTTCGTAGGACGACGAACACTCCAAGGATGGTCGGCCAAAACCGAAAACAAGTCTGTTAATATTTCCAATAACGGCCAGAGGCCCATTAATAACCCAGGCCCGAGTCGGGAGCTGCTGGGAGAGAGAGGAGAAATGTTGTTAATAGTCTGGGTTATGGGACAGCGGAGGCAAAAGCGACAAGTTTGCACTAGCTGCAAGTGCAGGGCCAGCTGCTGGGTGGGAGGTGAGATCCAGCAGGCCAAACCCAACCCCTAAATAGCCGCCAGTCAGGCACATCGACTTAACGGCAATTAATGCAAATGAAGGTGGATGATGCTGGTCGCAAGCCAAGTAACCCCCAGCATTTCGGGGCAGCAGAAGGATGCACTTGTGCATGCCTAATTATTGGGACAATTTGCGCTCGGAATTTGCCTATTAATTAGGCATCGCACACGGCACACACGGCAGACGGAGGCGATTTGGCTTGGTCAGGATCTGGATTTGATTTTGTATTTGCGGCAGCTGATGGATAATGCACTCATTGATTATAATGAAATCAGACGGACAAGATGCATCTATATCCTTCTGTCTGACGTCTGTGGGCGCGGCTTTTAATTGGCAAACGCTCATAATTAAAAGCCAGGCCAACCGCAGGCCCTAATTGGCCGAGACAATGTCCGAGACTCAACCTCTGGCCAAGAAGTCTGGTCGAAATAAGATTTAGCATGATTTATGATTGCTTCTTGACGGTAAATAAATGGAATTTGGCAAAGCAGGTGAGTGTCAAAAGTTGAACTTTGGTGGAAATGTGACTTTGACTGGATCTTAATGAGATAAATTTGGTTTAAATAAGAATTTTTCTTAAAGAATAAATATAACAATTTACTTCATAAGCTGATAGTTAATCTATAAGAATTTTAAGAATATTTTCCATATTTTTTATGAATAAATTATTGTTAATATAATATAAGAAATATCGTTTAATGTGAAAACAAAATAAACAGACTCGCTTTTTAACCATTTTGCTATATATTTATATTATTTTTATTACATTTAATTGATTTTCCATGTGAACTTGATAAGAAAAACACTTTAATTTATAAAGAATAAATTGTTTTTCCCATGTACAAAGTTTCCTATTTTCAGCTGTCAAAGAACTGAGTTCCTTAACTTCCTAAAACTTCTTTTCCCACTCCACTTCCTATCTCCCCCTCCCCTGTGGAGCCGCAGGATTGTTGCAAAACAATTTATTTTTTTCTTCCAGTGTCAGTGTCATTAAAAAGGAGGCCGCCAAAATATAATCACAGAGCAGCGCAACAATAACAACCGGCAGTCGTGCGTATTGCTCGATAAAGAAGAAGGAATCCCCGGCACATACACACCGGATATAGAGCGAAATATAAAAACATTATTAATCAATGTCCAGAGCAGGGCAGGGCAAGGCCCCAAAAGCTGGAGCTTTGCTGCCATGTCTCTGACTGTCCCAAATTCGCGCCCCTTGGGGATGCTCTGCCTCCCCAAACAGGACCAAGAAGGGGCAACTGACGGGGATGCTGGTCTGAGGGCCATTGGGGAACTCCCCAATGTAAAAAGCGGCTTAGGGCAAGGACAAACGCAGAGCGAACTTTTGCTAATTTTCTTTCCTGTCACGTTGATTTTTTGTTTACCATTATAGCTGAGCTGTCGTCGCCTTCCTGCGTCCCTCCGTCCATTCGCCCCTGCTCCTTGTTGGCCAAGTTGATTTACGTTGCAGGCGAACGGCATTTCAATTAAATTTTATTTCTATGAGTCCAGCATCCGAAGCCCAGCTCCCAGCTCTCCTTTTGGGGCCAGCTCAAATCAATGAAATATAATCGAATTAATTACGTCTAGCAGAAGGACAAGGAGTCCCGCTTTGGCCCCCGCTCTTGCCGCCTGTATAGGTGCCACATAAATTTGCGATTCGATTGCGTTTCATTGGTCACAGATTTCTATGGATTTCGGATTATTGTTAATGGCCAAATCCAGTATTGGGCCATTCAGCAGACTTTGTGGGGGGCAGAAGTTCCCCTGGGAATGTCCTGGCTAATGTCAAAGTCCTTCAGCTCCTGCTTCTCTGCCTCTGCCTTTTTAATTAGCATTCAGCTGGCGGACTCCTGACTCTTTGTTGCGTAATTAGCTGAGTTTTGATTTATTGCCGGACAACTTTCGAGCGGGACAGGTGCGCAGGTGGGCGGGGCCAGCGTCGGAATTAGTTATGTAAATATTTGCGGAAAATTAAAATTGTCAAGGGGCAAACTTGAGCCAAAGAGCAAAGTTTTCTAATGACTGAATGGCAGGAAATGCGTAGGATTCTCTTATAATTTGTATCTGCCATATCTTGGAGGAAGTGCAACCCCTTTGTGACTGATTGAGGAGGGGTTTGGTTCGTTTCGCCCCCTTTGAAACTTGTGCCTCTAATTCAATAAGCATGCCACACCGAATGGAAATAAACAAAGGCCCCGCCTGCAAATTAAACAAGTGAAATAGTTTGAATGCCGAGAACCGAAAACCGAATAGAATCCATTTCCAATCCCACTATCATTCACAAATTAAATTCGTTCGGCAGACACGCAAAGGCTACGTCGTATCCTTTTTGGGGGGCGGACTTTGGTCAGGCAAACGTATATATACCCCTACGCTCCGATGAAATTGTGAGCGCAACAAATTGTATCCACTTCACGATGGGGTTCGTATTTAAATAATAGTCAAAGATTATCAATTAAGCCATTGGCCAAATTAATA